CAGCTTCCTGGCCAATCAGGAAGCCGGGCAGCAGGTAATGACCCGCCACCCGGCTTCCTGATTGGCCTGGAAGCCAACTCCATGCTGCTTGGCTGGCTCAGTGCTGATTGCCCGGGAAGCTGGCTTCCAACCAATCAGCATTTAGCCTGTCAAACAGCATGGAGCTGGCTGATCGGCCAATCAGGAAGCTGGGCAGCCAGTAATGACCCTGCCTCCCAGCTTCCTGATTGGCCAGGAAGCCGGCTCCATGATGTACGGCCGGCTCCATGCCAATCAGCATCAAGCTGGTCTAACAGAATGGAGCTGGCTTTTCGGGCAATCAGGAAGCCGGGCTTCCTGATTCGGGGAATCAGGAAGCCAGGATGCTGGCTCCATACTAGCAGAAATACTGGTATAGTTACTCCGTATCGGGGAGTACCGAAATATAAATATGCATCCCTAGTATCATAGGTAATGAGGCAAAATGTATTGCCAAATTAAAATATGCAGATGAAATGTAAAATGTTTGTGGTCTGTAGGGAGTAATTAATCCTTACCCTATGTTTATTACTCTATGATATAATCAGGCTGGCTACTAGTAGCTGTATGCCTGTAATTGGGGTGCGCAAAAATGCATCAAAGCGCAGTAAACTGTCTGAAAGATGGCTTGTTCATACTACTCTTATGGGTCTATTTATCTATTTGTCCACCCACAATTCAACAACATCCAAGAATCCGACAAGATTCAAAATGAAAATGTGAATCTTGGGTGAAAGTTTTGTGAATCAAGGATTGAAAACGTTAAATAGACCCCTTAGAAATCATGAATCTTATGTAGTACATTCCGCAACCTGCACTATGAGCATAAAACAGCTGATTGCTTTGAGCAAGAGCTGAAAACTCAGAAGAAAATAACTTCTATAATTGGTATTAGGACTTCTAAAAAAATGAACTAGCACAATACTCTTAAAAATAATGTGGTATATTATTCTTCTAGATATCAATGAATGCTATTTTGAGAATATCTGTGTGTTTGGCACTTGTCGGAATCTTCCTGGCATGTTCCAGTGTGTTTGTGATGATGGATACGAGCTAGACCGCAGTGGAGGAAATTGTACAGGTATGTAATAAATTATATACAGTGTCTTTACCATCTAAAAAAAAACTCCAGGCAACAATAAAACCAATAAACAGTCTATCAATCCCCTAAAAGTAAACTTGCCCCTTTAAAGTAGTCATCATGTCAAAAAAGAAAAACATGAGAGATGGCAGAAAGGGTAGAAGGTACACTTATATTAAAGATATCTTTTCCCTTTGCCAATTCTGGTGAAAATGACAGGTTCTCCTCATATAATTGTCACTAATACTTACCATTGTCACATTCCCCCGGTACTCCATTTGCCTGTTGGTATCCTTGAAAATACAATTTTTTATACTTTTTAGCTTCTTCTCATGATGCAGTGCATGGCATCTGAGCAGCCATTTGCCAGATCTAAACACTGCATCATGGGACAGGCGGAAGGTTCTTTAACCTGTGTGAGCTTTTACAGAGCTTTCTACTCCTGTCCCCATAGGTAGACAGGACAGCAGCAGGAGAAAGATAAGTATCAGTAGGAGAGGAAGTAGGCAAAGTGATAGATTCCCTGTAAAGTAAAATCACAACTGCGATGATGTCAGGAAGTCTATAAAATGTACCTTTATCAATGGCCTGTAGTGAAAAACCTTTGCAGGCTTTTTCCTGGGAATTTGGGCCAAATTGTTGTGTTAAGAGGCATTTCTTTCTTTTCCTGACTGGCAACAGCTGCAGAATTACATAGAGAAAGGTGTGGAGAGTAAGTGACCACAGGTAATTTATGGGAATGTGGAGGGTGAAGGAAGAAGGGTGGGCAGATACCACTAGGTGGGCAGAGGGAGCATGTTTAACTCTCAGACACTGGGCTTTTAGTATAGTGTGCTGGCAGGTGGCATTATCTTTGTGAGGATTCAACCTCTGGAACTTCAGAAAACACGGTAGTTAAGAATAATATGTAGGTGGGATACAAAATACAACCCATAGATAGGAATATAGACGCCTGCACTCCAACGGCAAATCAGATACGTCTGTTTATTGAGGTACATGCAGCATAGCCTAATACACTCAGTGCAACGTTTGTGACCTGTGCAACATTTTGGGGTCCCACAGGTCACAAACGTTGCACTGAGTGTATTATGCTATGCTGCATGTACGTCAATAAATAGACATATCTGATTTGCCATTGTAGTGCCAGTGTCCATATTTCTACCTTTGTATAGAGACGGTGGTCATCTGTCAACAGCCGTTGCACCCACTTAACTTTTATGGAACAGCAGTTTTGAGTATGATGGGTATATGGATTGTAACAAATTACAACCCCACACTTTAAATGATGTTTCCGAAAACAACACACTGGCAACAAAGCATTTTCTGAGACTGTTGGGGCTTTGGACATCTAAAATACCTAATTATAGGCAATACGGTGCACACAATACGTGATTCAAGCCTTGAATTTCTTGTCTGACTTGATTGTACTTTTAATAAATGATAATATGGGGTTATAAATAGAATGGATAGAATACAAGCTATCTCACTTGGCCTATTCATGCATTCTGCAAATTCTGTTTTCTTTGCAGCTATATGATACATGAATACATTATTAAAGGACAACTTTTGTTGTCCTTTAATAATGTATTAATATAAGGACAGCCTTTGTGCAATTGTATACTTTAAGGTCTTGTAAGAAAATCTGTTTTTTCTTGCAGTGCTTCTTCAGTATATGTCAGCCATAATGGTGTAAAGTGTTTACAGCAAGGGACGGAGATCAGTAGAGCACCATCCCAGCACTGCACCAACATAGTTCAGCTATAGCTCTAAGTATTTTGTGCACAGGCTATGCCCATCACCCTCCAAGCAAAACAACATTACAAGTTTTGCTTGGAGGGTGAAGGGGATGTATTGAGTTGTTATTTAGTAAAATACTGTAGATCCTTTGTTTTCTAGTGCTGTTATTACACTACTTAGTAATAGGAAATATAACTGCAATGTGTTTTATTCTACAGATGTGGATGAATGTGCAGATCCCATCAACTGTGTTAATGGCTTCTGTGTTAACACTCCTGGCAGATATGAGTGTAACTGCCCACCTGACTTCCAGCTGAACCCCACTGGAGTGGGCTGTGTGGGTAAGAACCATCTACATACATACATAAAAAAAAACTAAATGAATGTAAGTCCTAAAAAGTTAGTTTTTTGTGTAACATATACCTACTATTCATTGTTGATTTGCATTACCCACTAAAGTGTAGTTTTCAGATAGCAAATATTTTGCCCAAAATTCTGATGGCGCCCTCTCATCCATTTCAATAGGGGCAAAATTGTCACCGAATGTTGTTTGCATTTGATATAATGATGATGTAATTATATAAGTGGTCATGAGTTTGAGGAAAAGAGGGGGATAGTTTACAACATTTACGGTGTGATTGTAATTAGTGAGGTAAATTCCTATATAAGAAAAGTTGCTTGGGTTCACATGAGTATTGGAAGGAAAGATGTGTGTGAATTAAGCTAGTCATTAAGAAAATGTAAGTGGCTTTGGAGTTGTCATAGTTGACTTGCAGGCCTGATAGCTTTCCAAATGGTTTGAGAATGGTAGTTAGGCAAGTAGATTGAGGGATTGGTAAGGAATAGTGATATCATCAGCAAACACGCTATGTTTGTTGTGATAGCCAGCAATGACATTGAGATTGTTTTTGATGAGGTGTGCCAGGGGTTCAATACCGTGTTTCCCCGAAAATAAGACACTGTCTTATATTTTCTTTGCCCCCCAAAAACACACTAGGTCTTATTTTCAGGGGATGTCTTATTTTTTTTATTTTTTACTGTGCAACAAAATGTACAACAATTTAAAGTTTTGTGGTATCACTCCACCTGTCACAGTAACTAACTGGCGCTATAGAGGAATATCAGCTAATGCGGCTCTGCTCCCTCCGCCGCCAAAGCCTTGCTTTATGCAGCGCTGGCTTCCTTTGCCATCAGGTACAGTGGTACCAGTGGTGCAGCAATGGGGACATCAGACAGTGGACAGCGTGGTAAAGTACGGTACCATTTACCGGTACACAGTACAGTACAGTACCATTACATTATGCAGTGCCTTCAGGGAGACAGCAGTTGGTGAAGTATGGTACTGGAGTGCTCCCTGTCACTGCGCTGGCCGGAGGGAGTCCCCCGTCATCCCCTTAATACAACATGTCCCTGCAGGCTGACACCATCTCTCCTGCTCTTCACGTTCCCCCTCACATGCTATCACCAAACTAGGTCTTATTTTCGGGGTAGGTCTTATATTACAGGAATCTTGAAAAATAGTGCTAGGTCTTACTTTCAGGGTAGGTCTTATTTTCGGGGAAACAGGGGTAGTTAGGGCAAAATTCAGCATTTTGGTCTAGATTGAGCTTGTAGTTAGGTGTAGCGGATTGCTGCTCCATAGTTATTTTGGAAATCCAGGAATTGAAGGTTATTAAGTCTGTCTCATATGGGACTTAAGGCAAGCTAGATATAATGTCCATGACCTTGTAGACTTTCCAGTGTGAAGACAGATATATCTGTCAAACAGTTGTGGGGCACAGTGAACAGAATATAGGCTTGGAGGGATGCATCTGTTAAAAGTGAGTCGGTAAGAGACCACGTTGGGTCAACTGAAGTGGCTAGTAAAGAGGTAAAGAGTTCAACTTTTCAATACAGTGAGAAGAGCACAGAGGAAAGGAGTATATGTGCTGTAAAAATGTGATTGATTCTGGGGAACATGTTATATGGATGTGAGTAGAATGTAATGTAATGTTTACTTGTCGGTTACATCTCTCTCCAGCAGTCAACTAGAGCATGTTGAGCAAAGATGGAATGAAAAAGCCCAATGTGATAAGGGATCAACGAGTATGGAGCAGATTTGTTAGGGTTGGGTTTGAAAACGAGGTTAGAGTCTCCGCATAAGTGCGAGGGTGACCCTTTTTACATGTTTTTTAACTTAATGACAGAGTTGCTTTAATACAAAATGTTATTTATGAGATTAATGACAGAGAGTCAAGGGCACTGATATCTAAAGGTGATTTATCACAAGCACAAATGTTCAGAAAAAAATAGATTTTTAAGAAAAGAAGTTGAATTTTCCAATAGTCATCATTTGCATCTTTGAGATTCTTTACAATTTTGTGATCATCTACAATTCTACATCATTCTTTTAGATGTATGTATGCCATAATGAATGGAAAATTGCCCCTCTCTGGTTAGCCTAAGGATTTCATTATAACGGTATGTCCTGCCAAGTGGTAGACGGGAACAATGATGACCGGGAAATGCTGGAAATTCTAATTGCAGAGTAATTGCCACACCTAAACCTGCCTCAAGGAATAACTGCAATAGTTGATTTATTGTTGGTTGTAGATTGTTGTTTTTTTTCAAATAACTAAAAAGCATGATGCTAAGAATCATTATTTTGTGGGTGGATATTGCATATGGTATACACTTTATGTGGTAAATAAATGATGATTCTGGAAGGATGTTGTTAAAAGAAAATATGCACACCTGTTTTTGTTTAACTAGGCATTCTGCAATGCCACGACGTACAGAAACTTTCCAACACTTCAGGATTGAAATGTTAGCCAGTTTGTTTGTCTTCCTGAGACCAATATTACTTTGGAGCCAGATCTGTTTTTGGAAGTATTCACTTTTAATGACTGATCTATTGACCTGTCCAGATGTCATATTTTTTTATTGTAACTTACTTAATTCAGCAGGAAAGCAGGCACTGTGTACTTGGCATACTTTTAAAGCTTCAAAGTTAATTAAAACATTGTTCAGAAGTTGAGCTGGAATGAGACCAAACTATGATGAATACTTGTACAGTAATACTACTTATGCTGGTTCTTTTCATTATTACATTAAGAGTAAAATCTAAAAAAAAAATCTAGAATGTGTAGACAATCACACCTATTCATTCAGCAGGGTGTCTTGTAAAATGTTCCTTAACTCCAAAAGGCTTTTAATGACAAATAAAAGCAGTACAAGTGAGCTAGTTATTCAGTAATACAGCACACTATTCAAGCACTGTGTACTTGCTAATGGATTGTCCAGTGACTGTTCCTAATATTTCTTTTAGATACCAGAGTGGGCAACTGTTACCTCAATCATGGACCTCGTGGGGATGGTACCATATCCTGTAGCACAGAGATTGGAGTTGGTGTGAGCCGGTCTTCATGCTGCTGTTCTCTTGGAAAGGCCTGGGGAAACCCATGTGAAATATGCCCACCGGTTAACAGCTGTAAGTCCTGAGATTTCAGAAGATTCCCTACATATATGATCAGGGCTATGGCAACAACTTATATACACAGCTTATATAACTCCTATGGTGTTCAGCAGCAGAGGGGCCAGTATAATAAACTAAAAGTGCTTTTATTATTGTTGTTACTATTATTATTATTATACAGAATTTATATAGTGGCAACAGTTTTTGCGCATCGCTTTACAATATAATAAGGACATTACTATTACAAAACAGATTGACAAGATGGTAAGGAGGGCCCTGTCCATGAGAGCTTACATTCTAGAAGGGAGGGACAAGTGATAGGTGGTAGCTGTGTGGGGATGAATTGTTTAGGAAAGTGATCATTCAGTGGTTAGGTTGCATGCACAATTTTTTACGATCGTGCCGGACCCGTACGCGTGCATTACTGTGCCGCACATAATGGTGTGGGCGATCGCACTGCGGGCGGGGGGGATGTTGTCTGCCATTGACTTGAATGGCACTGCCACACCCCCTCCCACCCCAGAACGCAGGGAGGCTTCCACAATGCGATCCAATGCATTCGGAAAGCACTGGAGATGTGTTTAACGAGCCCTAAAGGCAGAGAGAGTAGAAGATAGATGGACAGGTCGGGGTTAGTTGTTCCAAAGGATGGAAGAGACTCTAGAGAAGTCCTGAAGGCGAGCGTGGGAGGAGTTGACGAGGGAGCAGGAGGTCTTGGGAGGAGTGGAGGGGACAGTTAGGGTGATACTTTGAGACAAGGTTGGAGATATAGCCGGGGGCAGAGCTGTGGATGGCTTTGACAATGGTTGTTAATATTTTGAATGTAATCCTTTGGGTGATTGGAGGCCAGTGGAGTGATGGGCAGAGGGGGGTTGCCGACACTGAACGGTTGGTTAGGTGGATGAGTCTAGCAGCAGCATTCATGATAGACTAAAGGGGGGATAGCCTGTGTAGAGGTAGACCAATGAGGAAGGAGTTGCAATGGTTGAGACGAGACATAACAAGTGAGTGGATGAGTAGCTTTTGCTGGGTTTCTTTTTTTTTTTGTTTCAATATGAGTTGTTTTGGTGTAAAACAGGTCTTCCTAACAACGGCTATTTTTAAGAGAGATTTTTTTTATAATCAGGACCTATAAAGGACCTTGCCATTTTGTGTGGGACCTAGTTTTGTATATTTATGCCTTTGTGTAAGCTAGAAATACCAAGGAACAGGGCTTGTATTGATAGCAAAGGTATCAAGGGATCAGAGGGCTCAAGATGTGGCCCTGCTCTTACACTGCTTATTCTGCTGTCCTATCCCAAAACAAAAACGTATCTGTATCTGTCGCAGTAGCATTCTCCTCTTGTGCGGCAAGCATCTTAACAGTAAGGACATCTGCATTCTGTAAGCCTCTAGTCAATTCTGCCCTCTGCAGTCACTATAGTCAGAAGAATTTATAGCAGAGATGAAGAATTAGAAAACATGGAAAAGACTTTAGGCATGTTTTTATTGCAGGTCAATGAGGTGAAGCAGGAGAGGGCACATGTTTGAAAAAGCATGATAGGTTCAAAAATAGTTTCTCCAATGCTGAAAATAATTACATTTTTCATATGTAGCCCAGAATATATTATATTTGCTCTAACTAATTTAATCTGTATTTTGAAGTTTAAACCTTTGAGACATAAACCTCATCCAGCACTGGCCACACCTGTGCCATGAGCCATCATGCACTTGCAAAGGGTCATACTTTGTAGGTCTCCGGTCTCATGTCTTCAGAAGCTAAGTGTTATGGTTCATTTCTTGCTGTTGAGAAGGTACAAGTTTCTGAAGGGCTAAGTTTGAGAAGCAATTATATGTATGGGATAGGTTTTATTTTTCCTTGGACACAATTTGTTTCTATGCAGCAAACACTGTGCCAAAAGCTTACATACTGGGTTTCAGAAGAAAAATAGATATTTTAATTTTGGCTAGTGTTAGAAAATCAGTGACATGAGATATATTTAAAATGTTGAAAATAAAACTGTAACTGGAGTTTGCCTTTAATTATTTATAAATATATTGTTGTTTTTAGCTGAGTACAATACATTGTGCCCTGGAGGAGAAGGTTTCCGGCCCAATCCTATCACTATTCTCTTAGAAGGTAAGGACTTTTATGAAGGTTTCATAGGCTGCAATATATACAACATTATGCTTTACTGTGTACTGTGCTTTAGTGTACACACAGCAAACATGGATTCACACAAAGCCAGCAATGGTTGTTACAGACAGTGGTCCTTGGGGATTACTTTGTGGATGGGCAGATCTCATGGCTGTAGTCACAATGTACCCATTGACATGGGATGAGTGATACCCAATTCAGCTTATCCCAACCTCTGTGGATGCGTGTACACACTAGTCATTTTTGCTTACCGGTCGGGGGGAAATAGTTAGGGGCCAAGTTGGATATTCTGGCCTGATTGCTTTGTTTTTTTACCCTGAGTTAAGCTAGCACAGGAAATGTCTGACCATTGAACCTTCTCCATTAACATAAACACACACTCAATCAAAGTCTACTAATTTAAATCATTACCTTATAATGTCTATGGTCTGAGATGTGCTTGAATTATGATGGGTCATAGTTGAATTCAGTCATATGTAGTCTAAGGTATAAATTGCTTTCACCACTTAGTGTGCATACGCAATTGACATTTGTACACAAGACATAAACACCAACAGGAAACTTATATGGGTTTAACAAGAAAATACATTAATTCAGTATTAGCCTATATTCTATAGACTATGTTACCAATAACAGCGATCCAGAGAATATCCCCTATAAACCATCTAAAATATACACATAGCAATCAAATTATAAAATATGATGAGTTCATTATTTACCAAATAGACAAATAATCATATGGTAAAATGTTCAATGCAATTCAGCATATAAATTAATTCATGATATAAGGAACATCTATGCATGAAACTTGTGGATTCAAATTTCTCTTTAATGGTTTACACATGTAAGAAATACATTTTAACTTTAATATATACTGTTTCTGCTATACTTAAAGATATTGATGAATGCCAGGAGCTGCCAGGTCTGTGCCAAGGTGGTAACTGTATAAATACATTTGGAAGTTTCCAGTGCGAGTGTCCACAAGGCTACTACCTCAGTGAAGAGACCCGCATATGCGAAGGTGATTGCAACTGAAAAGAACAGCAGATGCCTCTATTAGTTTCATCATGTCCCTCTTGATTTAATTATTTCATCATTGTATTCTGTTTAAAAAATATTGCAGATATTGACGAATGTGTCACAAACCCGGGGGTCTGTGGACCAGGAACTTGCTACAATACATTGGGAAACTTCACGTGTATATGCCCTCCAGAATACATGCAGGTCAATGGTGGACATAACTGTATGGGTAAGAAGCTATTCCATTATTGCCATTTCTTAACAGATACCAACTAGCTGTATGCAAGTTATTATAATTACCAAGGTATATTATTACCTAATTATAGGTTTTTATTTGTCCCTTAATTAGATTTAATGTTCTGTAGAAAAGCAAATATATAACATTACTTAACTATATACAGTATATATCATATCCTATAATATATGATTTCTAAATTCTACTCTCACTGTGGCATTGTGCAATTCAGCCTCATCCTGATCTTTCTCCAGTGAGATTCCACCTCCAGCACACACAAACATTATTATTTCTCCTGTATCCCTCCTCTAGCGCACACTCTCCATTTTCTCCTCCAGATACTCCTCAGTCTGCAGTCACACACTCCCACCACTCAGACTGCATATTAAACATATGGTCCATGTCCTCCTCATAGATGAGCTCAAATACACAAAAGCTGTACAAAGAGAGTGAAGATTTACTTCAGTGATCCAACTCAATGTAAAAAGTAAATTATTGTTTACACACACATTGATCTTTCCCCCGTATCCTGCCCCAGCACACACACATCACTTTCTAGAATCTATACCAGGAGTGAGATGTCCCTCCAGTACACAGAGTTCTCTAGACAGTTTTACACCAGTAGATTATGTGCAAAACCCATTAGTGACTAGTCTGCAGTGTATGTGCATTAACTCCAAATTTATTACAGGGTACATTAATCCTCCCCTGTCATTCACGTGGTATGACTATCTTTTTTAGTGATTTTGTTGCAAATATGGAAAGATCAGTAACCGCTTTTTGTGGTCAATAAGTGTATTGTTCTGCCCACTGTCATACTCTCCTCCACACTCCTCTCCTGCACATAAATCCTGCACTCCTACCTTCCATGATTTTCTCCTGTATTTACTGCTCCCTGCCGTACCACTCCAGACTCCTTTACTGCACATACTGCCCCCTGTCATCCCCCTCCTCCACACACACATGTGGTGTTCTTAGGGCAGATTTAATCTTTTTAGAAATAGTCTATTGCCTATAGCCCTTTCGCCGAAATGCATCAACCAGTGTGCTCAGGTGTCTTCTGTCCATATTACAAAAATATCGTCAATATAACGATAATATTTGAATGGTTTATGAGGGTGAGTGGCTAGGAATCTGTTTTCTAGGTCAGCCATGAAGAGATTGGCATATTGTGGTGACATTTTTGTCCCCATAGCAGTCCCGGTCATTTGTAAATAGATGTTGTCACTGAAATTGAAATAGTTGTGTGTCAATATAAATTCAATGAGTTTGGCGATGGTTTCACTATCATAATTTTGTGTGATAATATGGGAGGAGAGGAATTTGGTGCAGGCCTCAATACCATCTTTATGCGGGATGTTGCTATATAAAGACTCCACATCCATGGTGACAAGTATAGTATTAGCAGGTAGGTT